GTAAAGAAAGAGTAGAGGGGCTAATTCTGGCTGCACAAGACCAAGCCTTAAGAACAAATGCATACAAAGCCAGAATTGAGAAGACAGGAACAGACAGCAAATGCAGGGGCTAATTCTGGCTGCACAAGACCAAGCCTTAAGAACAAATGCATACAAAGCCAGAATTGAGAAGACAGGAACAGACAGCAAATGCCGCCTCTGCAAAGAAGCTGAAGAAACAGTGGACGACCTAGTCAGTTGCTGCAAGAAGATAGCACAGGCTGACTACAAACAATGGCATGACACAATAGCAACAATGGTGGATTGGAATCTCTGCAAGAAATACCATTTGCCTGCAAGCAAGAACTGGTGGGACCACAAAACAGACAAAGTAATAGAAAAGGAAGAAGTTAAAGTGCTATGGAACTTTAGGATTCAAACAGACCACCACCTGCCACATAACACCCAGACTTAACAATTGTGGATAAGAAAGACAAAAAAAAGTCTGGGTAGTGGACACTGCAATACCTGGAGACAGCAGAAAAGAGAAAGAATGGGAGAAAATCACAAAATATAAAGACCTGCAAATAGAATTAGAATGACCGTGGTAAAAGAAAGCAAAGATAGTACTAACAGTAATAGATGCCCTGGGTGCAATCCCTAGACAAATGGAGCACCACTTGAGGACTTTGGCATTGACAAAATCACCACCAGTCAATTGCAAAAGGCAGCTTTACTTGGAATAGACGATAGGATATCATCCTACGACGACACTTTTAACACCATCAAACAACATCTGCCTATCCCAGGTCCTTGGGAAGGACACGATCAGTGGGTAAAAATTATAAATCCGGTCTAAACATCTGGCTGACTGCATAACCAACAGTAATGCCTTTGCTGTGCACTGCAGTCTGGATTAAAGCGATATCATATCCTTATTAATTTAAAAACAAAAAAGTGTTTTCGTATCACTTTACTTAATCCAAGCACCTAGTTGAGTCCGTTAGTATTTGGTCAGGCCTTACTACTATCTGAACAGGAAACCAAAAGGAAATTCTAGGGTTGTAGCTAGACTGGGAAGTTGAAAAAACATCATGGAAAAAAGCAGTGGCAAATCACTGACATTCTAATGTCAGGAAAATCCATGTAACAAACAGGACCTGAGCTTGACTCAAAGACGGCTTTGTTATTACTTTTTATGCCAGATTTTCCCAGGGTAGCTTACATATGCTTGTGGCTTACCTTAGTCATGGCAAATGGTAGTATATAGCTGACCCTAGCTGATCTTGAAAAACTGAACAGGGTTAGACCTGGTTAGCACCTGGATGGGGGACCATGAGGAAATCCCAGGACTGTGGGCTAGCCTAGGAAGTTGGAAAAACATCATGGAGCAAACCTTCTATGCTTTAACTTTTGCTTTCACTGAGTTCACAGGTTGTATGTGGATTTCCCAAAGCAATACCAGTCTTGTTTAAACCTGTCTTAAGTGTTAAACATAGGTTTCTTATTTAATTTTAGCAGAGTGCTAAGCCTAGAAATTTGTAGCAGCAGCTGATAATGAAGTGTGAGACACCTCCTGGTGGACCAAATTGGGAATTGCTTGCAACCAAGTGTCTGTAAACAGTTGGATTCCACCTGGAGTATGCCCAGTAATGTAAACCACAGCTGCCCCTTAGTAGCAAGATTCCCTATCCTTTTCAAAATGGGAGAAATTAATTTTAGAGCAAGATGTGAGCTGCTGCAAGAAGAGGAACCTTCCTAACCCTGGGAAATCCATGCAGTTTTCTAGGCAATATTTTGGGAAGCGATTTGCCACTAATTTCTTCCTATAGCTGAGAGAGAGGGACTGGCCCGAGGTCACCCAATTGACTTCCATGCTTAAAGCCGGACTAGAATTCAGACTCCTGACTTAGTCCAGCACCTTTAACCACTAGATCAAACTTGCTCTGTGCAAAGCCTTAATATATTTATTTAGTAAATTTCTATATTGTTGCTGTTATGGGACTTGTGGTGATGCAAAATTTAATCTAACATAAAACATGATAACAGTTAATAATTATCAACATTAATTCTAAACCAACCAAAGCAACAGGGAGAAATCCTCAAGCTAAACTAAAAAACCTCCATTCTTCCAGAAGGCAATCAAGCTTGGGGCAAGTCCAACCTTTAGGGGAAGACTGTTCCAAAACATACAGGCCATGACGAAGGAACACTCCTCACATGGTCACCCCCCAAATTATGGAAATGAGAGGCCACCAGCAATTATTCCCAGGATGCATGTACAGGATGGGTCGCTTCCAGGTGGGAAGATGCTCTTGCAAAGTATCTCAGCACCAAGCCAAATAGAGCTTTACAGATTAAAACCAGCACTTTAAATTGCACCTGGAAACCTAATGGCACGCAACGCAGGGCACACAGCATAGGCATTATGTGCTCCTGGAATCTAGTGCACTTTAATAGGTAGGTCTCTATATTTTTGCACCATTGCAAAATGGCATACGGTCTTCAAAGGCACCCCCATGTAGCCCAATTACCATAGTCCAACCAGGGCGCAATGAGAGTAACTATGAGGCCCTCTCACCCAGATAGGTCTGCAACTGATGCACCAGCCAGAGCTGAACAATGGATCCTCTGGTCATGGCTTTCACTTGCCCATCCAGCAGAAGCCAGGAAGATCCTCAGGGGCAGTGCTGAGCATGCAAATTGGAGCAGAGGACTTCCAGTTATAATACATTTAGTATAAATTAAAGAAAAACAGCAACTTTGGGGATGAAAGAATATAATGTACTGGCTAGGTTCACCCAGCATTTAACCAGGTTACTAAAAGAGGTAGCAGCCACATTCACATATGTTAGTTAGGGTTTTTGTGATTATGCAAACTCAGACTATTTGGTTCATGTATGCTTCAGAATATTGTATAAATCCAAAATCTAGATTAATTTAGTATGCTAAGCATGTTATACAAACCCAACCATTTTGTGAAACCTTATCTTTGGTTGCTTGTAGAAATTTTGCTCATTAGCATCCTAATTTTGGGCAGGGTAGAAATATTACACACATACACATTGGCTGGGTGGCCAGGATATGCAAGTTAGGTTGCCTTTAATAAGTTGGGTGAGGCAGGAGATCCCACTGAATCATAACTTAGTCCATTTTGACACCACATATGCAAACACAGTCATCCTATTATGTTAATATAGATCTACTGTCATGAACCAATCCAGTTCCATTGAGTGCAATGCTAGGTCACATCACATACTAAGCCATAAAGAATGTTTGGCAAATCTGAGCAGCTGGGTCCTATCCATAGTTAATTCTGGCTTAGCACAATGTAGGAATACAATTAGGGTATGCACAAAAGTACAAGCACATGGGAAGCTAATAAACTCAAAGGAATATAGTGCAGGTGCAGTTTTAAATTCTTTTTATTGCTACAATCCCCTAGATAAAGTTAATAGATGAATAAGCAGACTTTGAAAATGGAGGTCAGTAAAAGAGACATTGCATAGTATTGTTTTAAACAGGAAAAAAAAAGCACTTTTTTCCAAATGGAAATTCAAAGGGGATAGAAACCAGTGATTAGCCAGATGGATTTCACTTGCCACTGGACAAAGAGGAGCAAGTACCAACTTGGAGGAAACTGCTAAAAAAACAGCACACAAATTTCAAGATATAGAGGTAAGAGAGATGAAAAGAACCCCCCAAATGTCCAAATATAAATTATAAAAAGAAACAAAAGGCATAATTTGCTTATTCTGCCTTCTGGAATGTGTTTGGTGCCGTCCTTCCTCAAAATGAGCCTCTTCCAAAAGTTTGGAGTATAAACATTGTAATTCACAGACAAAATGGAGATTATGAAAATGTTCCACGTCATCTCTGGTTGAGAAAAGCTGTCAAGGACATGTGTTCCATAACCCCAATAACAGCAATGCAGTTGAGCTCAAAAGAACAAAATTGACAAAAATTGTCCAAGAGAAAATGTCAAGAGTATATGTGGTGGTAAGTAGTAGATGCATATATTTTATACCCATGAGTTTGTAAAAGTGCAACCAAGTTTTCCTGGTTATGCAGTAGCCCAGCATACACAGTCCCCCATCTTCCCTCATCTTCAAATGTTACTCAAGTATTATAAAAAGATCTTTTTAAAGTCACAACCACCCCAAAAGCATTGCCCTTTTTTTAGAGATGTCTCTTAAGCTCCTGCATCAAACTGTGGTTAAAAAAATATTTTCTCCTCCTGCTAATAGATGAAATTGAGCTGCTGGACTGAAATAATAATAATAAAAAATTAAAAATACAACAGGGATTCACTCCTTGGATGCCAACTGCCAAGTGATAGTAACCTTTGGCTTCTCCCCTTCAAAGTTTTACTAACACTGGACTTTTTTCTCAATTATTCAGGTACCTGACAGTGTATTTGGGGATAGATTCCTTTTTTCCTGAAAACCATAAAGAAGTAGAGAAAAATCAGCAATTTGGGATGACTACGGTTGCACCATGACCACCGGTTGGAAAAATGTGACAGTAAAGGCACTTTGTAGTAGGGAGAATGGATCTCTTATTACAGCTCTGCTGCATGCTGGGAACAAACTCAAAATCTGGGGTATAAGGAAGAACCTGGCACATTATGATAGCCCAATCCCAGTAAGACTGAGAGTATGGCTGGATAATGTCTGACAGCATAAGGGAATATATGTAATGTTTTTTTCTGGAGATAGAGGTATAGTAGACAGCATCTAACCCCCAAAGGCAGAGTCAAGGATGCTGACCATGTAGTCGCACTGCCCCCGAGGTTGCCTGGTCCTGTTTCTACCCCAGTACCAGAATGGGGATCAGCCCTGCTCCAAGTTCTCAGCTGCCCGCACCGCCAAGTAGGAGGTAGGAGCATTTGACAGCTGGCGGCCAAAGAAGGATGTTGTGCGGCGAGGTTTCACCCTCTTGATCTCTTTCCCTAAAGCAAGAGAGAGAAACACATACAGATACAAGCTGGGATATACCAACTCAGCAACAGTCAGTGGCCGGGTTCACACAGCTTAACTAGGGTTTGTTGAACACATACTAGTTGGTGCACAAAGCTGGAAACTATAATTTACAAATCACACTGGTAGGAATCATGCAATCTCCAAGTAAAAAAAATTAGCCCCAGTGAGGACACTGGGATTTTTGACAGTCTATTACAAATTTGGTTTCCATTTTTTTTTATTTCTGTGGACAAAGAAATTCCTAATAGGTTTCCTCCAACAACTTCTTGGACACAAATATTGATTTTGGATCTTTACAATTTTATAGCCCTATTTAAGCCTTATCAACATTATCACATACTTTCAAACAATGACTTTTAACGTATTTCTTGAGGGTTTTGTTACTTTTTTTCCTTTTTTTTTTTTAATGTTAAGTTGATGTACTGATATGGTGGGTATAGCCTATTTAAACAAGCTAATGAGGCTGTTCCCTCTAGTCTTTCAGCTTTCTACCATCATACCTCATTTTTTGTTTTTTTATGCATAGTCTGGCACACTTTCAAACAAAGCCTTCAATTTTTCATTTTTATTTTCCAAGAATGCCTTCAGATTCCATAGGCACTGCAGGAAATTCTGAAAAACTAGAGTTTTTCTTTTCAGTACATCAATCTTCTATGCCAGTCACCACACCAAATAAGAACAAGTATGTAGCTCAGCAGCTGCTACCTACAGCTTATGAGGAGACAAGCTGGACTAAATTCAAAGAGTCAACTAGTTCAGCACCCTGTTTCTCATAAGCAAGAGAAGAAAACAGCAATTCTCTATGCTCCATATCTCCAGTATTTAGTAACTGGAAGTAAAGCATCCTAGTAAAGAAAAGTTCTAATGGGCTGACCTAGCTGGTTTTATTTATTTATCAAATTTGTCACTGCCCATCTCATTAAATAACTCTGGATGGTTTACAAAACAATTAAAATCAATTAAAATTATAATATGCATTTTAGTGATTAATTAATGCATTTTCCTAAGAAGAATGCTGCTGGATCAGGCCAAGGGCAGATGCAATTGAGTATCGTGCTTCTTAGAAAGGGAACATGCTGACACAAATGTTATTGCTGGATATTTGCATTGGAATATCTTGGGAAAGACAACCTCCTCCTCCAAACTCTCTCTCTCTCTTTTCACCAGCTTACCTTCCTCAACATAGTCTATGGTGGCTAAGCGTTGGATCCGACTACAGAGCACACTGTGCTGCCGCTGAATTTTGGGAGGCTGTTGATCAGATGTGGGAACTGCAGCAGTGGGGGGCTCTGGATCCAGCCCCTTAGCAGCCACATTCAGCTCAATACAATATTCAATTAGACTACTCATGAGTTCAGCCTGTAAAGATGGATACGGGTCCTTTTAATATAGCCTTTTTCAAGCCAGCACCCTCCAGGTAAAATTAAAAGGGGATTACTTCACCCAGGGTGTTAAATGACACAAAGGAGAGAAATAACTTTTCCCAGTTAGTTGCATTATGGGAACAAAAAATCCCCCTCAGTTTTGCCTGCTTGGTTCTTGCCCCCCCACAACCAAACCTGAGCTGGATAGAAAAAACAATTGAAAATGCAAGCCTCTCCATTACAGAACTCATTTCTGAGATTTGGTAGCACAAAACACACCTCACAATGCTGACTGGCTGCAATGGCCAAGCCGCATGTACTGTCTGGATAAAAAAAAAGGAGGGATTAGTGATGTAATGAAGCCTTGCCAGAGCTCCCCTGGTGCAAAGGCTCATGGCACTTCTTGGAGAGAGCAAGCAGGGAGTCTGCATTCTCCTAATGCAATCCTCATCCAGTTAGTGTGATTAAGTAACTGTCAGAACCATATGCAAGGAGAGCTGGGTTAAACATGTCATGTTGTCTGCATGGTATGTCTAACCAGGTAAGTAAACCAGGTAAACGCAGCCGCTGCATTTACATAACACAGTGATAAACCTAGTTACTTTTAGGGTGGATGTAGCACACTGTGCAAATCTACTCTGTTTAGTTACTTCATGGTTCGGTGTATTCGTCACACCTAGAAAATAGGGTAGTTGTAACATAAGCTTATTATGTGACCCAGCCATTAAGTTTTAATGTCTCTCCCACGCATGCACATACCTGCTTAGAGTAAACCTTGAGCAGTTTGTTGACTTGCCGACCTTCATTCTCCCCATCAAATTCCAACCACAGGATATGTTCCTCCTCACTTGGGAATGTGTGATCCCATGATAATTCCTGAAAGCGCAGGCCCAGCAAAACATACTGCAAGGAAGAAAGAAAGTTGTATCAGGGGGAGGGGTAATGATGGAGGGCCTTTGTGAACTTTGTCCCATCCAGGATCTGGGCCTTCAGAATTTGAAAGAAAACTCTTATTCAGTGTTGCCTGATAGACCACTTCATATAACTTGTAATGCTGGTATGCCATAAAGCAGAATGCATAAAAGGGCCAAGAACTCCAAGTGGCTCAGTTTAGTCAGCCAAGCCACATATTGTAGAGGGCTACCCATTCACAAAAACATCACCACTTCAGAATTACCTTCTCCTTGCTATCAATGATATAGACGCCATCTAGGCTGATTGCCACTATCACAGCTTTGCGTCCACTCCGATGCAGCAATCCCTGAACCGGCTTGTCTATTTCCCCAAAGAAAAAGGCACAGCTGTAGAGAGAGGAAGCAGACAAGAGTACTGGAGTGTAAACACCTGACAACATAACTCCCAAGGCTGGTGCAGTTTAGGACACAGAAAGCATTCCCCCCCACCCCAAGTTTCAGTGTGTTAACTGAGTTGGAGCTACAAGGCCTCCCTGAGTCAATGTTCAGTTCACTGTGACAGTCTATCCCAGTCTGGCTCTTGCCAGTTGGAATATGACTACAACTTCCAGAATCCCCAGTCAGCATGGCCTGGGATCCTGGGGCTTATATCCCAATCTGTCTGGCAAGTAACAGGTAGTAGAAAACTGTGCTAAAACACAAGGAAATTACCTTTTCCTTTCTGCTTTTTGCTGTCCTCATATATCTCCCCTCTCCCCAGACTGCAGATCTGATCACCTGCTTGGGACATTCCAATTTCTCTCACCCTGCTTTGTGGTTCCATGTTCCACCAAACCTACCCATAATAAGGAAGCTCATGGCACTTTTGCAGATAGGCATGGTACAACCTGAGCAGAGTGGCATGTTCTTCGCAAGCCCCTGCCTCAGGTACCTCACGAAAGGCATGCAGGAGACCCTGCTCATTGATAGGCAACTGGGAGCTGGCCCGTTTCCAAAGGCTGGCAAAGCGCTTATGGCCTCTGTGGCAAAGGTGGGAAGGCAAGAAGGAATCCAGTCTCTCTCTAGGAAGGAAAAAAAAATCAAAAAAATAAAAACTCCCACTCAGCACAACTGATCTCAGTCCTTGCTTTCTTCCCTGCTTTCAGAGCAGAACGTCACTACCTAAGCAGTGTGAAGTCACTGAGAAATAATGCCATGTAAGTTTTATTGCTTGTCATCCATTTCTGCTATTTCTAGAACTTTCCAACATGGAAAGTTTCCAACTTTCCAACAGCTGCAGTTATCTAACTCCAATCACGCCATCCAGTCTGGCTGAACTACAAGCACAGGAATTTTTACATGCAGAATGCCAAATAAACAACATGAACGCTTAATGTGATCTGTCACTCTACCCATTTTTTATAAAATATGATTTATGGCTTAGCATGTTCAGTGGACCCAGCCAGTTGTGGTTTATCCAAGGATATTAAATCATGACTTACCTGGTGTACTCTCTCAGCCACATAATCATAACCCATAAATCAGTTATGGTTTACAACCCAAATTATGGCTTAGCATGATCAGCAATGAAGGAAATCTACTTTGGAAGGACATATGCGTGGTCCAATCCCACATACTCTAGTTTGAAGTAGCTTGCTATAGCATTTGATCATCCTTGCATCTTTATTCCAAGTTATGATGCAGATTCACATCAGTGTGCTTGGGGAACAACAACTTAATACAGTATGCAGCAATGGCTGTAAATGAAATCCTATATACTGTTATATTTGGTCTGAGACAACACAGAGCCCCATTAGCTATTTTTAATTGCTTTTTTAAAATTAAAATGATCAGAACAGCCAAGATTTTAAAAATTGTGAAATGAAATACAAACATACTGAATCTTAAGGAGAAATACAAAATCCTCCCCAAAATTAAAATCCATATTCAGTTTTGTATTATCTGTATATAAGATTGAATACCACGCTAATATTCTAAACAATCCTTAGTTTAAGGGTTTTTCAAAATTGTTTTAACTGCTAATTTTTCACCAGTTCTACTTCCTTCTGCTTCAAAAAAAGCTCTTCAGTATTCTGCATGAGCCTTGAGAATCACAGAACACAATTGTTGTTTGGATCCCACCTACTTCAAGAAAGAAGCCGTGTGCTGCTCCGGATTGTAAGGGCCCAAGTTGATTCGGCAAACCAGAGCTCCTAATGCCTCGCAATCTGTGAGGTCACATGGATATCTTCCTTCCAGAATGTTGTACTTAGCCTCTTCATACAAGAGGCGCAGAACATCCTCATCCTGAATCTGGAACAAAATCAATATTAGAATCCCAAGTGTAGCTAACAATGTCAAGCCTGGTTAATACTTGGAGGGGACACCACTAGGAAATCCCAGAGCTGGAGGCTGGATTAGGAAGTTAAAGAAACTCCCAGAAGAGAGTATCAATCCACTTCCATATTGTTGCCAAGGAAATTACACGGACATGTCTGTAAAGGCATGATAAACTGTGTTCAACCCAAAGTAAACTACACATTACAGCTTAATGTGTCAATTAACCCCTTTTCTGCATTTTCATAATACACTGAATCATAAAACAAAGGTCTACAGTAGTCCATAATGGCAGAAAGACAGCAAGTGAATGCAAAATAATGCATTTAACACTTCCTCTGCCAATTCCTGTGTGTTCTGTACCCTGTCACCTCCCACCCCACAAAACATACAAACTATAAGATAATAGTGATTTCGGTAGAAAATCCCAAAACTTTAGAAAAATGCAAAAAAACCCTTTTTAGGTTTAAAAAAAAGACTTCTAAGAGCAAATAAACCACTATTCAGCAAGGATTAATCAATATTTGGATTTATGGAAGTGCTGAAACTTTCTGCTGGAGCTCTAACTTGCAAATGCTCAATGTTATGACGTAGGCACATAACAGAGCTTGGAGGGTCACATCCTGCCCTAAACCCATCCATGGATTTGCATGGATGAGCTTGACTCTCTTTGAACTCACCTGCAGCTCCTTTCTTCTCAAGAAAAAGATATTTCTGCGGAACTGAAGTGATGGTTCATCTATGAGAAAGTCAGGGAAGAAAAGCAGGGGACAGGCTGTGATTCAAAAGCCTGGCTTTCTTGAAAAGAGTTCAAGAAAGGCCTGGCCAACTCCCACACACACTTATATGTAATGAAACACTCTAAAAGTGGAAACCTTCCTGTACACAATGAGTGAATCATGCTAGTCCTAGAATTGTATGCATCTATTTATCACTTACTTACGAAATGTATAAATTACCTTGTCCTAGCAGCTCAGTAATAAAATACATCCCATAAACCCCCAGCAGTATAAACCACACACCATACAATTTTAAAAGGTTTGGATGAACAGTGTTGTTTTCAGCCCTCTCCTGGACTGAAATTGACTATTAAGAGATTTTGGCACCAATGAAAGTTTGTTTTATAATTAAGCTAGACTCTGTAGTTTGAATGAATCAATACCAAAATGAGAGAGAGCTTTCTAATATTTTTCAGGAACGGTGCAAACACAATTAGCTATTTCTGCCTTGCAGACACTTGCAGGTAAATGCCACATGCTCCTCTGGTCTGTAACACTCAAATTCTGTACCTAAATTCACATAACATGCTTAATCCTGAACCCGAGTTAACAAAAGACAAAGGACCCGCTCATGTAACTTGCGATGCTCAAACAAATAAACCTTACTCTGCCTAAACAAGGCTGGCTTCATACAACAGGCTAAGAAAACTACCCAACTTGCATTTTAGCCTACTCCAGTATGTTGCATGATTCTGGACTGCAGATAGAACAGACCAGTGAAAGAATTCTTTTTAGGATTAGATAAAGGACTTTTATACATATCACATTTGCATACAGAGATGCAAGCACCTTCAACAAACTCTTCCACGGAGCAGCTAGTGAAACGAAAGAGCAAATCTTGCCACTGCCGGCAGACCTTATATGGTTGGTGTTTGGGTTTCAGCTGAACTTCTGCAAGACAGAAAGATAGGAGAGGATTCAGCGGATGTATTCATAACCAACACACTTCAACAGGGTCCCAAATTAATTTTGCAAATAAAAATTATAATTGCAAACATGCTGAAACAGCAAAATACCTAACCAAGGCTATCACAAGCCAAGCTTAGCATGCTGTACATATACAGCCTCTAGGTTTGCAACTGACACAGTGAAGCAGGTTACATGAACACAGGGTAAAGAAGTCTACAGACAGGGCAAGCCTGTCTTTAGTATGGCCCCATGGCAACTCCTTGCCATTGCCATCCCTCCCAATAGAGTTGTTCAAGCTGGACTACCAGGTCAGGCTCTAGGCCTCTTTGGAAAGTCAATGGGAAGCCTGATCCTTGAAGTCTTACCAAGGAAGGGGGAGACTAGCCACAATGAAAAGATCTCAAGTGCACATTCGGGCAGGTTCAGCACATCTAACACCATCCGATGCAACTCGTGAGCCGTGACTGAGGGTAGGTTGTCCATTGTTAGACGCACCACAGTGTCATCAACAAGATAAACGAGGACATCCTGGGCTAAAATGCAGAGAAAGGAGGATTAAAAAGACAGTTGCAGTATTCACATAGCACACTTAACCTGATGACTGGAATAACTTATTTTCTAGGTTTGCACAATTCCTTAAAGTTTAGTTTATTAATATTGATTAGCCATTAGGCCATATCAGGAAACAGAATATAAAACATATAAAACATAAGGCATTTTTAAGACCATATATTAAAAATAAGGGAAACAAAATTAAAAAAGAAAAAAGATGCAAATCATATTTCTGTATCACGCCTACAATTTACTCTGATCAGATCCACATATGCAGATGTCAACTGAAAAAAGATGCAAATCATATTTCTGTATCACGCCTACAATTTACTCTGATCAGATCCACATATGCAGATGTCAACTGTTAAATAGGTTTTAATATGAGGATTCCCAATAGATCATTTATCTAATGTGAGGTCCAAGATACGGATCCCTCTCTTTTTTATATAGTTGACATTCAAATAATATATGTGTTAAGTCTTCTATCTCTGGAGCTCCGCAAATACAAGTGCATTCATTATAAGAGACTTGGTTAAATCCTCCATATTTAACCATTGTGTCCAACTGCTCAAATCTTGCTCGACTAAAAACCACCCTAAGATATTTGGGCATTTCTGTGTTTAAATACCTGGCAATTTGGAAGGTACGTTTATAACGGCTCATC